AGTGTCGAAGGCCTTCCTGAAGTCCAGAAAGACTATGTCAACTGCTACCCCTGCGTCTATGGATTTTGTGACCTGGTCATAGAAGGCCACCAGGTTGGTTTGACAGGACCTGCCTCTAATCAACCCATGTTGGTTGCCCCTAAGCATAACCTCCCCTGCTGGCCCCTCGTGGACATGTGCCAGGATAATTGTCTCAAAAAGCTTACCCAGGATCGAGGTAAGACCAACTGGCCTATAGTTTCCTGGGTCCTCCTTCCTCCCTTTTTTGAAAATGGGAACCACACTGGCCCTTTTCCAGTCCTCTGGCACCACACCAGAGCACCACGAGTGCTCGTAAAGCTGTGCCAGGGGTCCCACAATGACCTCTGCTAATTCCCTCAGCACTCTGGGGTGGAGGTCTTCAGGACCTGCTGATTTAAATACGTCCAGTCCCTCCAGAAGTTCCCTGTCTAGATCCTCACTGACCCTAGGCCTGGGTGCACCTCCCCCGGGGCCTCAGGGGGTCCCGGCCGATGGGCTGATCTGGTCCCTGCTCAGGAAAATGGAGGCAAAGAAATCGTTAAATAGGTTAGCCTTGTTGTCTGGTGCAACAACCAGATTTCCTAGCGTGTCTTGCAGAGGCCAAATCTCTCTGAATCAGCACCAAATCTTCCGAAGCCGATTCGATTCAAGATAGTGATCTGAATCTCCAAATCAAATCACTGTCCTCTGAATCAGCACTGAATACTTCTCTATTTGCACAGGCTTAATGTCAATGTTTCTTTAGTATTTCTCAAATAGGGCTGAGGTCTAATAAGGAATTTGAAGGAGATATTAGCAGTCATATGGATTACCTGAAGAATGCAGTTCCATGTATAAGAGGAAGTGTAAAAGAAAGCACCTATGCATTTTTGGTGATTTGGAAGTCTTATGCAAGCAATTAATAAGAAAAAAACTGGACAACAGATAGCAGTAAAAAAAAATATGAACCAATCTGAAGGTTTATGCAAACCACTGGAATTTGATTAAGGGAAATTGTGCAGGAGCCAATGAAAGTATTTGAAGAATTGACGATATGATTATAGCAACAGGAAATAATTTTAGTAGTTGTATTTTGACTTACTGGAGGGGAGATGCTGGTGTCTAGGAGGTTCAGGTTGATAAGGTTACAGTACATGAGACAAAAGACAAGAACCTGAATAAAAACATTTGTCTGTCTTAACAAAAACAGGCAAGAGCTATGCAAGTAGCAGCAAATTTGGTTACAGTCCGAATGTGTGGGGCAAAGGAAGGTGACAAGTGTGACAGGGGGCAATCTCCCAGGCTCAACATGCAGGCTCCTCTGTAGCCTGCACCGGCCCACTAAGTGCCCTCCTATGGTGCTCCGCCACACAAGAAATATAGTTTGTTTGGTTTTTTTAAATGAACAGCAACAAATGATGGAGGTAACAGAGAGGATATAGGAGGAAAAATGAGAATTTTTTATTGTAAAGTCAGAATCAGTGTCTTCTGGTATGGGGGAGGGGAGAATGGGAGGTGGACACAGGTCACAGGTGTGGAAAGGACAATTTTTTTCTAATCAACTATTGGTCCATCAGCAGGATATATTCAGCAAATTTTAAAAACACACTGCAATGGAACAACAGAAATTTTCTGTGTAAAGAAAAACCAACACCAGTCTGATAGAAACAGAGGAGTTATTAGGTGATGACGCACATCATCTGCAAGAATTAAACAGTCCTTAAAGGGACAGTAAAGTAAGGAAAATACATAAACTGAATATGTAACTTGCAGGATCTGTTTGAATAAGCACAAATATTCTAATCCGGATAAAGTTTCTGAATGTTAAAAAGATCCAAGTACGGGAGGTGTGTTGTAACTGTATCTTACAACTACAATAGATAAACACACACACACACACACACACACACACACACACAATATCAGGTCAATTAGATGCATTACACTAATTGTAATAGTCGTCAGCTATGCTGTTTATACAAAAGGTCAAAGGAAAACAGTCAGCCAACCACATTAACATTTGTGTGTTCACTTTTGCTAACAGGGTACAAGCTGAGGGGAAATGTACTCCCCACTTCTTAAAGTAAATCAGTTTATTTTTAAACAGGAAAGGAATAAAAAAGTTAAAAGTTTACTACTTTATTCCTGTTGGCAGTTTTGGTTACAGTCAAGGTTTGAATTACATTCTGACTCTTGGCGGGGAGGGGGGGAGAGTCTGTAGCAGGAACAGCCAGAAGGAGCCGCGGCCACCCGAGGCAGGCCAAGGGGGCTCTCGTCTTTTATGGGGGAGCTCAGCCCACCCAAGCTCCCCCAGAATTCCAGCCCTAGTTACAGTCCAAAAGGTTCTACTGCTACAAACAGTCACTGCAGCTTTAAAACTACCTAGCTATAGCACAACATTTTTTAGGCTTCTGATGCATTATATAAATAAATGGTCCACCCTCCCTATTTTTCCTTCCTCTCCTCTCTATTTCGATAATTTGTTCATACCTAATTTCATAACTATTTGAACATGGCTTGTTCATACCCAAGAGAGAAAGTCCATTTATACCACTCAACAGCACTTCTGTCAACCAAATAATGTTGTTGTCCCCGCCTGTTCATTTGATGAGATGGTATGCGCCAGTCTAGACCAGATGAAGACACACTCTGAAAGTAAAAATTTAACATCCTCACAGGACTTCATTTAATATTTCAAAGCAACTCCACAAAAGTTATAATAAGCTTCCACAAGTCATAAAATGAAATGCAACATTTCAGTAATTTCATAAAGAAGTGTAAGTGAAAATCAGGCACTAAGCTGCAGGGAAAAGGGGCCTAAACTAGTATAGAAAAATTTATTGAAATGGAAAGTTCAGAAGTATGGGGAACTCCCTCATCCCTTCAGCCTGTTATACTAGTTCAGGTATGAATATCCCAAAATAAACATAATTTTGGCAGAAACCTATGGATGCAGATAGTAGTAACAATGAACGTTTCCAAATGAAACACACTTGAAAATGCTTTAAAAAGGAAACATTTCAGCCAGTGGACACAGGTACATCCCTGTGTCACTGAACATTTCAATGTTGCAGCTTCCTCTAGTGCCAGCCAGGCAGCATTAGGGCAGGCTGCAAGGAACAAATGCTCTGCTCTCAGCTCCCTGCTCCCCTTCACTTCACAGGGACAGCAGGAAGTGGGGGGAGAGGGGGGGCAAGAGTAGAGTGGAGAGACAAGCAGGGGTTGGAGGGGAATGGAGTGGGGCACGGGACAAGTAGGTTAGGAATACCAACTTTCCCCCCAATCCCTGCTTTTGGCTCTTAAATCTCCAAATTTCTCTCCACCCTCCCCCAACAAAGGGGAGGGGCAGAAAGGATTGGGAGCAGAGGGTTCGACTGACATTAGCCAGAGAGTTGCGTGTATCCAGCTGTCCTTTTGAAACATTTTAAAAGACATCTACAACATTTTAATTGTTACTTGTGTCCATGTCTTATCTGGAGTGCAGAGCAAAGTGCATCAATTCTCATATTAGATGGAGGTGTAGGCTAATGACCAAGAACCTGCAAAGAAAATTTGTGCCTTTCTGACGTAACAAGAATTCTTGCTTCATATGGAGATGACAAATAAAGACATTTCTGAGAGGTGTTAACTGCAATTGGTGCTGCTGTACTTTATATTCCTTGGCATTATCTAGGTCTAATCATGCTGGAAATTCTTCAGTCTCCCCACAATGCTCTGTACCAGAAGCCTGATACTAAGATGGGAAGTCCATGACATTCAGAAACTGTTCCCATTACTCCAGAGCTGAACTTCCACCTCACAAATCAGGCTCAGGATCTGCTTCTTTGACCCAAGGACCGCCTTTCATGAGAGGTATATACAAGGCACAAGGCTCTGGCTTCTGGAGGCTATCAGACTAAAGGAGATCAGGGAGGGCACAGACTAAGGTCTGATGGATGGAAAGGACAGGGCTGTGCTTACTGGTACTGTGACTCCCTGCTTTACCTTCACAACACAAGAACAGAGGGTGCTTTCTTTCATGAGGGGTAATGTAACTAAGCAGTGAAACTTGGAGAGGCTGGGAAACTTGTTTCCTCAAAAAAAATGTCCTCTTACTGTATAGATACTACATGGTGGGAGGCTTCTCCCTTATGCAAGGTCTAGACAGGAACAGGCCCAGGACAATGAAAAGCAGGGTATGGCAGCCGCAGAGCTCAGTGCACCTGCACCTGGGGGCTGAGAACAGAACTTGCAGTGGTGAAAGGGGGGGTATGACTGCACCACCACACACCCCAGATCCAGTCCTGCATCCAGGTAATGCCATACCTAAAGGAACAGGGTCAGAAAGGCGCAGTAAAAGTTGAGGCCTGGAACTGCAAAGTGTTTTGGCCCTGGATTGAAGTATAGACCCTTACCCACAGAAAGCCAGCTGAAGAACTTGAACTTGTAAAAGAGATCCCTTATGTGCCAGAGCCAAGCGTGGATACATACAGTAGTAGAATACAGAGTTGAAGATCTTTGCCTCTTTTATACCCTAGAAACATGACATCTAGTGAAAATTGGTATTCCATCTACCAGAGCATGAGAGTTAGAACATTAAGGGAAGATGGTATCATCAAAAAGACAGCCGAAATCATGGTTCTCATTTCCCTCCACGCCACACCTACCCCCACTCCTTCACTGAAGCCAATGACAGTTTCACCTTAACACAGGGTGGACAATTATTTCGGCTCAACAAGTTTTGGCAAGCTGTCAGGGACCACATGGGTAGCCCGGTCTCTTGACAGACGCCCTGACACCTGGTCACCACATTGGGACCATAAGTCCTGCCCCATGACTCCTGACCTTTGCCACCAGAAGTCCCTCCCCTTGCATCCCCCCCCTGCTACTCCTCCCACCAAATGCTCCTTTTAAGAGGGAATCATAGAACCAGAAAAAAAAACCAAATCATACACTAGAAGTAAAACATCTACTATATTTTAATTTTACTACAAAAAATATTTGTCACGACTTGTAATTAGATACTGCATATAGAAGGAATTGCATAATAAAAACTCAAAATAAAAGTGTCACTCTGCTGGTTGGGCAGAGCCCGTCTGCCCAAGAGGGTTCGAGCAAGGTCCAATAGGTTATGTTGTGGGGGTTGTACATGTGAGTGCCTTGCTTTCACCCTTGTTGGAAGAAGGGCTGGGCAGGGTGCAATTCATGGGGAGGCGGGGACACACCATGGAGTGGATGAAAGTACATGGTAGGCTGGATACAGCCCACGGGCTGTATTTTCCCCACCCCTGCCTTAACATACCATCACCGTATGATTTGTAAAATGAAATATATAAATTCAAGCACCTAGACAGGTAAAGAGTTTGAGATAAAAAAAAGTTCGTTTTGTTTTTCTAAAATGAATTCCGAGTGGAGGGTAGACGTGATTAAATGGGTATGGTGAAGAGCATATAAAACAGAGGATATTTGGCTATTTAAATAAAATACAGGGCTGCCAGGGAATGAGAATCCTCACCAATCTAGTGAATACTTAGGTAAGTAAGCATAAATCTTTTACTTCTAAAGAATGTTTTTACAAAACACATTGCAACAATACAAGACTAGGTTAGAACAATAGGGAAGGAATAAAAAGGTAAATCTTAATTCAATTACTTTGCACACTGAAGGTTAATCACAGCATAAAATGTTGCATTCATGTTAAAATAGTGTGTTGCAAACCAGTTACTTTAAGTGACAAACTGTGACCTATCATTTAGCCTTTAAAATAACTTAAGTGGCTTGAATGACCAGAATGTCCTAACTAGCAACATTGCTCCAGTCATATTAGAGTATTACAGCGAGTATATTCTGGCAATCACTCACGCTTGTTCACTTACTTGCCACACCTTTGATGGGAGAATAAATATAATAAACAAACAGACAAAAATAATTGCAGTTCTTACAATCGATCTGTATAAAGTAACTTCTTATTTTCTCACAGAATGTCTAACAAGGTGATAACATTCATGCTCAAGGTCAGCCAAGTCCTGTTTTGGTATAGTCTCTATGTCTGGTGACTGGCTCCCTGCTGAGCTCACCTCCCTGGCTAATTCTTTGTTTAATTTCTCTCAGAGTGTACCTTCCGTTGCCAGGGTTTCTGTGATCCCCGTGTCCCTTGAAGAGTCTCACTGCTTTTCTGATTCAGGTAAGTATCTCCCCAATGCATGGGCTGCCTCTTGTCCCGACACAGCTATAGAACTCCTGCACCTCCGCACAGGCTGTTTCAACCCTCCAGGTGGAATTCGCATTCCTCACCCCCTTCCAGGGGGTGTTTGTTGGGGAAGTGCCCTTTTCAAGGTGTTCCCTTACTTGCTTCAGGTCTCTAGTTTATAATTCTTTGCAGATGTTCAAATCTCCCTCCTCCAGAGGTCACCTGATGACATCATCACCTCCGGTTCTCAGTAAGTTTAACTCTTCCCCTCCTAGTAACAGGGTCAATAGACTCCCTGTTACATTAAGCACAAAGTATTCTCTTTTCTCCCTAAATTCAAACCCAGCATTGTATTACACATGATTAAGTAAAATCAAATTGCACCAAAAAAAGAGGGAGCAGAAACAAAAGTAAGGGGAGTGCTGATTAAAGCACTTGTCGATTTACAAGTATGTGCTTATGGGTTTATCTCCCCTGTTGATTTTTATATATTGTAGGCAAATGGTAATCTTATAGGACACACCCCTAATTATGAAATATATCCAACTTTCATATTTGCATTATTGAGTTGTGGCAGGTGGACTTGATTTAAAATGGAACAATCTTTCAGTTACTGGTGCCATATATAGGTATCTTTATTAAATAATACCTTTCCTTGTACATTTGTATGTTTTGTAAGCTGTAGGCATAAGTGCCAGAACAGGACTGATTCCGTTTGTCCTTTTTAAGTTGAAATAGAGATCTGAAGATTGAGGCACCTCAAGAAAAAGACATCAAACTGGAACAGTACATTTCTATTCACAACTGAAATGCCAATCGTATAGATGTGAGCGGAAAAAATGTAAAATAAGTTATCGTCTCATTCTCCAATATATACTATAGAATCAAATACTGGAAATGTAATGTGCAAGGTACAGTCAGGGGTATCATGGTGTGTGGTGAGTAGAGTGTGGGGTGGGTAGGGGCAACACAGAATAAGAGCTATTGCTGCAGTCAAGCGGGATCACCAACCCAAAAAAATGTTTTTTATTGACTTTCTGCAAATTGCCATTCAGGGCCTGGCAGAAAGGTTACACTTAAATTATGTAAACCATCAGCAGGGGTGTAGTTAATTTGCGGTTCTGCAGAAACTGTGAGAACTGGCACCTACAAATCGCCAGGAAATATCACGTTGGCCACGATTTCCCACAAAATCAACCTAACAAACCAAGCAAACAGTGTATTATTTATATAATACACTGTTTTAGAATGTCCCAATGCTTACCATAATACAAAGACAGTGCGACAATCACTGCAGCCACAGATCACGTGACAGTGCTAGTTAGAGACTAAATGAAGGTGCCAGTCAGTGAAGTGAAAATGTTTCCATTAAGGTT